AAGATATTTTGAAACATCAGGCTCCGATTGCTTTCTGTAAAGGAAAAGTGTCGCTATTTTAAAGGGAAGCTGTGAGAACATTAAGAGACGTATTAGATCTATTAAGAAACAAGTGGCGAATTATCTTTCAAGAAACATACAAGGGAAAGGAGAATGGGTGGAGTGGTTGAAGAGGTGGGCCTAGTGGTGGACTCAGGGGATATTGACGAGATGGGAGTGAACTGTTAGTGGATTTTGGTTTATTAGACTCTAGGAACTGCAGGGAGCTGGATCTGATGATGTGGTTCTGTATGAAGCTAGCCAGCTCCTCTTACTTCCTCTGTCGTCAGTGCTGAATTCGGGTTGAGGGTGGTTTAGGAGTATAGGACTGGAAGGGTCCTCCTGGTTCGAGAAGTCCAGTCTCCTACTGTCACAAGCAACCCCAGCATATCATCCTGTTCATAAATTCATCAAGCTCCATCTTAAAACGAATTAGGTAGTTAGCTTCCTTTACTCCTATTTAAAGACTGTTCCAGGCTATTCTTATTCTGTCATAAATGTGAAAGCCACTTATCCGTGCTGCAAATGGATGCTGTAGCCATCATCCTGAGTTTTTCTGACTGGACCTGCCTAGTATTGAAGGAAAGGGTAGAAAGCAAGCAATCAAAATAGGCTGAAATCACAACATTTGATCATTCTTCTGAAATAAAGTGTGAACATTTCCAAGAGTTGTTGAGCAACAAGAGAGAAGGGATTTGTGCCCATCTCTAAAAGACTAGAAAATTGGTTTCTTCGGATTTAAGATCAAATGTCCCATTGAATGAAACTCTTGCTATTGAAATGGATGAACAAAACATAGGTGAGCTTGATCCTGAAGCAAGGCATTTTTTGAGGTTGCTGTTGTCAAGACGTAGCCACAGTGATTGTGTAAGTCCCTGCTCTCTTCATTCACAAGTGGTCTTAGTTTGCCGTTTGGGACAAGGACGAAGATCAGTGAGTGATTATGGCATAACAACTATTGAATGGCAGAGAATCTTCTTTTGTGCTAGTAATACTTCACACAAAATGAACAGTTCAAAGAAATGATTGAAGCAATTTGCCCTGGACATACTTCTTCTAATGGATTGAAAGTGGCAGATCTGTTACTAGATGCTGCAAGTGAAGAAATGGGGGTGGGGTGGGGGGGGGGATGAAAGGAGGAGCTTAAAAGGTTGATGTGAACACTTTTCCCACAAACATTTTTGATCCTCCTAGGCATGGTACATCCCCTCTAAACTTGTCTGCAAATCCTGTTTTGCTTCAGATTCCTCCTTGAGATCCAGAGATGCCTACAGGAAAATGCCAGCTGATAGATTCAAGGAGCTCGATCTATTTAGTTTAACAAACATAAGGTTAAGGGGTGACTTGATCACAGTCTGTAAGTATCTACATCGGCAACAAATATTTGATGATGGGCTCTTCAGTCTAGCAGACAAAGGTATAACATGCATAAGGTGTAGATTTTTTAACAGTGAGGGTAATTAACCATTGGACCAACTTATCAAGGGCTGTGGTGGATTCTCCATCACTTTTTCTTCTTTTAATCCCAGAGCATCTTTGCAGACACTGGGATTAGTACAGCATTACCATTCATTCCTGTCCATGGCTTGTTCTTCCCGTAAGCCGAGCCTGGTCATGACATCCCTGCCGTCTAGTGGGTGGTTGGCCTCTAGGTTGGACTAATCTTGCCTGGGTTTGCATTATTTTCTTTCATTCCATTTATTTTCTTTCTTTCTTGTATTTCTCCATCACTGGCAATTTAAAATCAAGATTGGCTGCTTGTTTAAAAGATCAGTTCTACTTCAAAAGGAATTATTTTGGGGAAGTTCTGTGGCCTGTGTTATATAGGAGGTCAGACTACATGATCACAGTCGTGCTTTCCGGCCTTGGAACCAGTAGATAGAAACCCAGCGGAGATTTTTGCTCTTGATCTTGTATATTTCTTATTTACATATAAAAGAAATCAAACCAACACAGAGCCTTCCAGCTGTGTCCACATCTGGCCTATGTTAACCTTTGTTCTTATTCCCATTTTTTGAGCTTGTGGTTTGTGGTACCACCTACCATAAAAATCCTAGGCCAGCCCCACCTCCAGTCATGAGACTGGCATAAAAAACATGAGCTTTGGGAAAAAAATATGAATTTGATGTTTCTTATTTGCCTTCTGTTTTTTGAGCTGTTGGGGGAAGAGGAGGGGGGGATCACGTTTTTCAGCCCCTCCCCCCCCAACTTATTTTCTTTTCTGAAAATGAAAGAGGAGACTCTCCTGTACACACATAACTCCAAGAGCGGGGCCTGAAGGAACATTACAAAGCAGTTAAATCAGTTGGCAAGGCTGCATTTGTTGCATCTTGGACTGTAAGCTCTTCGGGTCAGGGACTAACCCTAACTAACACTAAGGCTTCTGCTGCCCATGGAGCAGGAGAAGCTTCAAGCCCCTGAACTATGATTTTGGCAGAGACATGAAAGAGCTGCTGACATTCACCTTCTTATTTGAAAATGTCACATCCACTTGGAGTACTACTGAGAAGTGACTGTCCAAATGGCCCTGGGGGAGGGGGCTATATGTTCATTGTGGTCCCCAGTCAGATAGGCGTGGCCGTCCCTTAATGTCCAGTGCTACAAACTAAGCCTGGGGTCTGAGTCAAGCTGGATCCATTCCTTCTTGGGCATCAAGTGACCCTTGGTGATTCCTGTCCCCTTAGTGCATTTGTCCAGGCATAACTGATTGGAACTTAAACAATCCTGGTGATGCACAAGAAGGAAGCGAATCCAGCTCTCCCTATGGGCTAGGGGGAGTAAAAAGCAGGGAAATTCTATTTTAGTTATTTCAGTCAGCGGATCGGACTCCAGCACATATACAGACGTAGGCCTGAGGAGTAAGTGAAGTTGCTCTTCAAAGCAGAGCTATGCTTTGTGCCTACGTGTGCATCTGCTGCCAGTTTTGGATTCTGTACAGTTCTCTGTACTTCATTTAATTCTCCTTTTACAAGACGCTCACTGAGCTGGGAAGTGAAAGGTGATGTGAGGTGGGGGTGGCCACTTCTGTTCAGGTTGGGGGAGGGGTGGAAAAGTCAGGCATCAGATGCCTTCTGGGGTTGTAATTATAGCGAATGATTTGACAGATGCCTGCCTAGCCTACATCCGTCGGAGAGAGTCTCAAGTAAAATTTCCAGACCTGGTGAACTCAGTGATGAGCTACTACTGTCTCTTAATCCTGTCAGGCAACTGTACCACTTTAAGCAGCCAGGAACAAAGTTGAAGCTAGACAAATTCAGATTGGAAATAAGGTGTATATTTTACCCAATGAGAGTAGTTAACCATTGGAAGAATTTACCAAGTGTTGTGGTGGATTCTCCATCACTGACGATTTTTAAATCAAGATTGGATGGTTTTGTAAAAGCTCTGCTCTAAGAATTATTTTGGGGCAGATCTCTGGCCTGTTATACAGGAGGCCAGACTAGATGATCACAACGGTCCCTTCTGGCATTGGAATCTGTGAGCCCCCTGCTGTGCTTTGTGTAAGTAAAATGTTGGTACTGTATGAAATCAGTGCAGCCAGTATTAAATAGATCTCCAAAAGTAATTGGCCCAATGTTCCTGGGCCAGTGCTATTGGCCCCAATTGTTCCTGGCCCAATGCTATTTGTCAGTGATCTAGAAGATAAAATGTGTGTTGGGAAAATTTGCAGCTGACGCAAGGGTTGGTTTAATGGTGAGTAGTGATAAGGACAGGTCAGTTATACGGAGTGGTCAGAATCTCTTGGTGAGCTGGACTCATTTGAGCACCATGTGTTTTTAGTACAGCCCGATGGAAGATCATACACCTAGGAACAAAGAATGTAGGTCATCGTAATGGCATGGGGGACTGTATCCAGGAAAGCAGTGTCTCTAAAAAGGACTCTGGGTCATTAGAGATGATCAGCTGAACATGAGCTCTCAGTGCAATGCTGTGGCCGAGGGCTATTGTGCTCCTTAGCTTTATAGATAGGAGAATATCAAGTAGGAGTAGGGAGATGGTGTTACCTCAGTATACGTGTTAGTGAGAACATTGCCAGATGCTGCATCCAGTTCTGATGTCCACACTTCAAAAAGAATGTTGAAAATTGGAAAAGGTTCAGAATCGGGAAGAGGGTCTGGAAGAGACATGAGCACAATCTCTCATAGATCGTCAGAAAGATTAGGAGTTGGCTTGATCATGGTCTGTAAGTGGGGAGGTGAGTTTTGATAGTAGAGGGCTCTTTAATCTGTCAGACAAAGGCATTGCTTGATCCAGTGGCTGAAAGATAAATTCACACTAGGAATAAGGTGCAGTGGAATTAACCATTGGAACAATTTACCAAAGGCTGTTGTGGGTTCTCTGTCACTTGAAGTCTATAATTCCAAGATTTGACGTCTTTCTGAAAGCTCCTACCCTGTCTTAACCAGAAGTTATTGGACTTGATGCGGGACTGAGTGGGTGAAATGTGGCCTCTGTTGTTCAGGGGGTCAGACCAGATGATCGCAATGGTTCCTTCTGGATTTAGATTAATCCTGCAGACTCTGTTGGGAAGGAGGTGGAATCATGAGCCTCCAGATTGTAAGCAGCCCAAGCACTGTGATGGGGCAGAGCATGCCTGACTTAATGGGGGGAGGTAACAGGGACATGGTCCAGGTAGGTTGGCAGGGAGACCGGGGCACCAGCATGGAGGAATGGTCTACAGAGAGTTTGCTGCAGTGGAAGGAGATGGGAAGGGAACAGCTGCTGCCTGCACATTTGAGACACTTGGGGAATGGCTGCCCAGGGCTCCGAGGTACATCACTGTATGGTGCATCCCATTTTTCACCTTGTCTGTCGCCCTCTGTTGGTTTCTCACCATTCTCCATCCCTCCCCCTGGAATCAGTTCGCCCCCCGCCCGGAATATGATTTGATTTCTTTTGATGACTCGATTGTTTCTGTTGTGATTTATCGTGTTGTTTTTTTCTTCCTTTTCCCAATCCAGTTATTGTGATCACTCTAAGCCCTGCTCCCGCTCCGTCCCAACGAGCAGGTACCAAACTTTTTATCATCGCAGCTTGGATTTCCTGCATCATTTACTTAACGCTTCCTTCAACTGCATAGAAATGCCACCTGTCTGACTTCCCTCCTGTCTGTCTCCTCCTCCCCTCCCCCGTCTTTCCCATATCCACCTGTTACCACCACCATTGATCGAGCACACGTGACCATTCACAGCTAGGAACAGCATTAGGTAAGGCCTCCCATAGGAACATGGCTCTGCTTGCCCACATGCTTTCCTGTCCCTCCACCACTGGAATAGCTTTGGCCACCGCACCTGCCAGCTGAGGCTCTCAAAGCACATTCCAGAAGCAGGTAAGTATTAAACACTATAGGTAGGCAATCCTCGCCTCCACCACTGATATGCAGCCACTTCTGGGCTGGAACGCAGCAGCTATTGAACAGCACACACCAGCAGTGTGCTCTCAGCATTGTAAGCTAGCAAGTGAAGAAGAATCCCGTGTCCAATTGAAACTACCGCAGCAATGTTAGGAAGGCAACATTTTTCCATGTTGGAATTCGGTCAGGACATTTGGGCTGACATCCCTGTTCTCCGAGCACTGTACACTCCTTGATAGCCACGAGGGGCTGGATTTCTGGAGAAGGCTTAAATACTGTGTCGACTGAATTAAATATGGTGGATGGCCACCAGGTGGCTTAGCACAAAAGCGGGAGGTATTTTTATCTGCCTTCCACGTAACCCCTCCCCCCCCCCAAACATTTACATTCCCATTTGAAGAACCACCCGGGACCTCTGGAGGAATCTTAGTGTGATTATCATCTGTATTAGAGAACTCCAACTGAGAGATCCAGGTCCCACTGTGCCAGGAGCTGCATACACACAGGTGCGAGAGTCCCTTCCCTGAAGAATTTAGTCTAAATAGCTGAGTGTGTGTGAAAGGAAGGGTTATTCTCACCATTTCACAGATCACACAGGGAGTCCCACTCTAATGCCTTAACCACAAGCCAACTCTCCAGCTGTATGGGCCTCCATATCTCTGTGGCTGGAGCAGAGAGCTTCCCCGAGAGTCCGACTCTCAGAGGAGTGAAGTGGCACTTCCAAATTTTTACCATCCGGGCTGAGAGGCTTTTGTATCTCCTAAGCTAAACAGAGCCAAACCAGGTCAGTACTTGGATGGGTGACCCAAGAAGTGGTGTTAGTGGCTTATTAGGGGGTACTCTTCTCACTGAGTCAGTTCTCAACACAATCTCTGCATTGATGTGCTGCTAGAGTGGCCATCTTCTGGATGAATGCCTGTCTGGCCGTGTCCCCAGTTCTTACACGTTTATCCTGAGTCTCACATTATTGGGTGTGTTTCTTAAAGCCTCAGCTCTTGGAGTCATATGATTCCATGAGGATCTCAGCTTTCTTCTTTTTTAAATAATTTTTCAGCCTTCATGGCTGCAGAAAGAAGCTGAAAAACATGACTCCTAAAGGCTCATAAATCAGAAAGCAAATAAAATGTTGAATAAAATAATTTTTGTGTTTTTAAAAAAAAACCTGTGTTTTTTTTTTTTAAAGTCCAGTCTCATGATTTTTGGGACCAGATGCATAATATTTGAACCCTGGAGCTTGACCACACAGAAAGGAGTTTACGACTTCTTATGGTCATTAAAGATCTCCTGTTCTCTTTATGAGATTTGCGGGGTAGTCCTGGTTTCCAGACTCCAGTTCTGTTCATTACATCCAGTCTGCCTAAATTCCCCTTGCAGCTGCATTTGGGAACAGATTTCTTCACTTCCTGCCCTAAACTTGTTTAGAGATGCTGTGCACTGCGTTCCACCCCAGATTCAACCACTTTTGACTGTCGTCAGTGAAGCAATCCCAACATTGGATTGTTTTTTTCAGTGATTTGCGTTGCTGTGCACTGTTAAGTAGCTATTGTGCTGATCCCAGAGTCAGCTGCATCTGAGAGTGGCAGGTGAAGCAATCCCACTGTTGGGTTTTTTTGCAGCTGGTTAGTCTAGTGTTCTGGGATCCTTCAGGATGAAAGGTTTAGTTTAAATGTACAATGATCGTCTGACAATTTTTTCTCCTGTGTTTTACATCTCTCCCACACACCGATATCAAATTGTAACACTGTGCTGATAGACTTTGCCCTGCAGAATTTCCCAGACAGTGAACTATGAAATAGTATTTATTTTTATTTAAAAATTGTAATTGTCTCTTTTCTAGGCCAGAAAAAGAATACAGTATTCGTTGATTCCCAGCCTTGAACGTATTGCATTGAACTGTCCACTCCTGAAACAGTGCAATGAACACACGATTTCATTGCAGCAGGCAGAAATTCAGATGCCATGGCGATTCCCACCAGCATTTCTGAGCCTCCTGTTGGTGACCGCCCTACCTTTGACAGTCTTTTCGAAGCATCTGTATAGAAAATATCCATTTGCCCCCATTACGGCGGCAGTCTGGGAATCCAGACCCTTAGGTTCTGTTCCTGGCTCCGCTCCTGGCCTCTGGGGTGACGTTGGCCAAGTCCCTCACCTCCCTGTGCCTCTCTTTTCCCAGCTCTCAAATGGAGTTGGGCCTCCCCTCCTTTGTTAGGTAGATAAGTATTCACTGTAAAGCGCTTTGAGATTCTCCAATGGCTATTCATTGTATTATTTATACAGCTATCTCTTTTTTTTTTCTTTTTGAATGTTCCCCTGCCACCAAGGTGCTCAGTAGCCCAGTAAGGTTATTAAAACCTTAGTAATGGAAATAGAACTCAGGAATCCTGACTTCCAGTGGCCTGCCCTAAGCATTAGGCCACACTCTCCTCCCAGAGCTGGGATCAGAGAGTTCCTTGCTCCAAGAGCATGCCCAGAGCCTCAGACCATGGTAAGACTGAGGCTCAAAAATCATCCTTTAAAACCCAAGGCTCTATGCACTTTTCATGTAGCTTTTTGCCATGGGAAGCAATGCCATGTGCTTCATGCCTGTGAGGGTCACATTCAAACCCATCATGTTCACAGTTAAAGAGGGAACTGAAAAGCTTTTCAGTCTGCCAGGGCCAGAGTTCATAACGTCCATTGCTGGAAAATCATTGAGCCATCATGTGCCCTTAAGACAGGGAAACAGTTTAATTCCCGGTATTTCTACTGTGGTCACGGGAAATGCCGGACTTGGGTCTTGGTATGTTTATAAGAACTTAAATGTTTAACAACAGCTGTATGGCAATGAATTAAGAATGACATTCACAACCCTCCCACCAAGAAAAAGAAGAAATTAATAACATCTAAAAATAAACAGATCAGAAACATGAGCAGTTTTGACTCTGCAAACAAGTGCCAAAGACTCCCCATTGCTATTGATTTAATGTGGAAGGCACCCAGATACTAGGGGGATGAGTAGCAGAGTCAGACACTTAGGTAGATTTATAGACAGCATGTCTGCACCTTATGTTGTGTCACTGATTTGGTGGGGGCAGTCTATCTTTAGAAAGCTTTACTGTTCACTTTTAAATCCCAAATATGTTAGTGTTGTTTATTTTAGCTGGGAATTAGGCAGCTGTTGAAATTCAGTGGAATATGGGTCCCATTTACCTTGGGCTTCTTGGAAAATTTTGACCTATTTTTATTATACTAGCACCTGCAAGCCCCCAGTGAGACCAGAGGCCCAGTGTGTTGTAGAAACACAGAGGAAGAGAAAGTGCTTTCCCCTAAGAGCTTACAGTTGAAATAGACAAAGAGGGAAAACAGAGACCGAGGGACTTTGGCCCTTCTCTAGCACTCTCCATCCAAGGATCTCAACATGGTTCGTAAACATTCCTCCATTTAACCCTCTCAGGCCCCCGCTGGGAAGCAGGTGATGGATGTGTTTGGATTGCTTCACCCAGCATTGAAATGCTGCCACTTCTGGGGTGGAACACTGCAGCACTTTAACAGCATAATTGTTTGCAGGCAGAAATTACATTACTGTATCCAGCTGAAAATTCAAGAGGAGGATTTTTAAGTAGGCCATCTGCAATTACTCGTATTGAAATTTTGTTAGGACACTAGAGTTAAAACAAAACCTCCCTCCTAGGGGAAGTGTCATGGAATTTTTAAGGAGTACAAATGGTCAGGATGTTTTCAAATGACAGCAGCTTCTGCAGCGCAGGACGCCCACACTGTGGCGTTGGGATTGGTACTGAGCGCCTCTGTCACACCCTGGGGCTTCTGTTGAAGGTCTCCCATCGAAATTCTGACCTGACCTGACCTAAGTTTGTTCGCTGGCTGCAGGCTTGTTGTTTCAAACCAGCTCAGTTACTTCCCGTAAAGCTTTAATCAGGAAGTCATTCATGCAAGATGATTGGCTGGCAGGAGGGGGAAATGTAATTTGCTATTGAAATTCTGATTCATCAAATAAGAGTTTCCAAAATGGTGAGAGCCTGGTTAATATCAGGGCTGCCAGCTTTGTCCTGTTTAGACCCATAGTGACTCTTATCACTGCCCAGTTTGTCTGAGATCATCAGAGTCTTGCAGAAATGTTTATAATACAGACACTACATAGCCCAGGTTGATCAGCCTAGACCACCCCAATCAGCAGGGATCCCAGCAATGATCCTTGCTGACTGTGGTGGTCTGATCTGACCTGGCTGAGATATGTAGTCAGGACTGCTGGGTTCCGTGTCCAGCTGTGCCACTGATTTCTGTATGTGGCCTGCTATCTCTGCTCCTGGATTCTATTCCGAGCCCTGCCACTGAGTTAGACAAGTCACTTTCCTGTGCCTCAGTTTCCCCACCTGGAAAATTGTAGCTATTTCCTTAGCTCACCAGGGTGACTGTTGCAAAGCACTTTGTGATCCTTGGATACTAGGCCCAATTGTTTAAAATCCCTAAAAAGATACAGTTGAGTCTTGTGCAACTTCATAATGGGCTTTTTAATGCATTTGTAAATGTCCCTGTGCCCAAATATCTTACACATACTATCTGGGTGTGGGGTGAGGATTTTCACAACTGATTTGGGAATTCCAGATTAAATTGGTAACTCACCCACAATTAAAGGCAGCTTAACCCTTTCCTCTCCAC